TATATATATATATATATATATATATATATATATATAAATTTATAGACATTTAAATAATAATACAGCAGGCTGCATATATTAAATTAAATAAAAATTTTAATTTAACGATTAAATGATTTGATGGTCATTTTAGTAGCCATAATACATCATTACATGCATTATATTGATATTTAAAATATTCCTCAAATACCGGCACTGTAAAAAATGACCGTGAATTTAACGGTAAAAGACTGTAAAAATGATACAGTAAAAACCTGTTAAATGGTCAACGGTAAATTCCCCTACTATATACGGTGAAAAACTGTATTGGACATTACATGTATTGGACATTAATTTTACGGTAGTATACCGTTTTTGGAAGTGAAAAAGACTGTATAATTTACAGTGAATAACCGTAAAATTGACATTCCCAGAATTCCCTGCGTTACATTTCAAATTTGATGTTTTTTTGTTGAATTTTGTTTATGTTTCTTCTTAGTTTTTTCTTATCAGTTTTGTATATTAGGGTTGTGTGTTACACCTAATGTTGTTAAATTATTGTTTATTGCATTATTTCAGTTTCATGTGTGTTACCATGATGGTGTTTGTGTGAATGACACTGTGCACCTTCTATATATGTTATTATTTAAAAGCTGCTTGTGATGGGCTTTGGTTCATAATAGGGCTGCACGATAAATCACTTGCGATATTTAACGCGCATCTTGTCAGAAAGCCGGTTCTTTAACTACACAGAGCCGTTGTTCACTGACAAGCTGCGCCAAAAATCGCGCGAATATGAACGTGGTTTGGCGCAGCTCGTCAGTGAACAACGACTCTGTGTAGTTAATGCTGCTCAATGTGAAAGCCCGCAGGTGATGGAGATTTACCGCTGATTACAGAACCGGCTTTCTGACAAGATGCGCGTTAGATATCGCATGCGATTTATCGTGCAGCCCTAGTTCATCATGTGACTTTCTCATCACCACCTGCATTTGGTGGTTATCAGTGTATTACAAAGGTACAAAACAGATTTCAGTACTTCAATAGGTTGGTATATTAACATTATATCAGTTAATGAAATTACAATATTTAATTGTAAATTTAAGTTAAAACCGTAAAACCTAAAACGTTGCTACCGTATTTTTTACGGGAAAATTCTGGTAACCACAGCTGCCGGTTTTTACAGTAATTTTTTTTTAAAGATTTGTTCATTTGGACCTTTTTTTGTGATTTATTCTTCAGGTTACATTGTTACAACCATAACTATATCGTCCACTATACAGTCATTCACAATTCTGTATATTAATATGGTTTCAGACACCACTACAAACGGCTGTCCCCTCAAATAATGCACTATATAAGACTATAGAGGGCATGTTTGGGTTCATCCATTTGTTCAACTGATTTATTCAAAAACACTGAATCATTCGGGAATCAATCTCCACCACTGTGTTGCTCGGAGAGGCACAACGGTTGAAGCAACATTACACAAACTGGCAATGATGACATGTCTAAAAGTAGAGCTGTCCAACAGATTTTGCGGAAAACTGCATACTTTCATCATTCTTTGTTTGAATTTTCATCCATGAATAAAGTGAAGTTACAAAACTATGCAGTGGAAATAGCTTGAAGCCACAACATCTGTCCTTCGAGCCAAAAAGAGCTTGCAAGCAAAAATGGAAAGCGAGAAAATGTAATAAAACATGAATCAACATAGCATAGCATCACATTTGCTATACATTAAAGGGTCCTTTTATGCTCTTTTACAAAGTCTTGATTTTGTTTTGGGGGTATACTAGAACATGCTCTCATGCTTGGTGGTTCGAAAAACACATTCTTTTTTTACATAATTTACATTATTACAATACCTTTCTCCCCATCCTGGCACAAACGGCTCGATTAGTTCCAGGTTTGATGAAGGTCCGCCTTCTGAAAAACAAAATGTGATGTGATTGGTTAGCTGTCCCAGTGCGTTGTGATTGGCGAACAGCTTAGACGGTGGCACTGTAAAAAATGACCGTGAATTTAACGGTAAAAGACTGTAAAAATGATACAGTAAAAACCTGTTAAATGGTCAACGGTAAATTCCCCTACTATATACGGTGAAAAACTGTATTGGACATTACATGTATTGGACATTAATTTTACGGTAGTATACCGTTTTTGGAAGTGAAAAAGACTGTATAATTTACAGTGAATAACCGTAAAATTGACATTCCCAGAATTCCCTGCGTTACATTTCAAATTTGATGTTTTTTTGTTGAATTTTGTTTATGTTTCTTCTTAGTTTTTTCTTATCAGTTTTGTATATTAGGGTTGTGTGTTACACCTAATGTTGTTAAATTATTGTTTATTGCATTATTTCAGTTTCATGTGTGTTACCATGATGGTGTTTGTGTGAATGACACTGTGCACCTTCTATATATGTTATTATTTAAAAGCTGCTTGTGATGGGCTTTGGTTCATAATAGGGCTGCACGATAAATCACTTGCGATATTTAACGCGCATCTTGTCAGAAAGCCGGTTCTTTAACTACACAGAGCCGTTGTTCACTGACAAGCTGCGCCAAAAATCGCGCGAATATGAACGTGGTTTGGCGCAGCTCGTCAGTGAACAACGACTCTGTGTAGTTAATGCTGCTCAATGTGAAAGCCCGCAGGTGATGGAGATTTACCGCTGATTACAGAACCGGCTTTCTGACAAGATGCACGTTAGATATCGCATGCGATTTATCGTGCAGCCCTAGTTCATAATGTGACTTTCTCATCACCACCTGCATTTGGTGGTTATCAGTATTACAAAGGTACAAAACAGATTTCAGTACTTCAATAGGTTGGTATATTAACATTATATCAGTTAATGAAATTACAATATTTAGCTGTAAACTTAAGTTAAAACCGTAAAACCTAAAATGTTGCTACCGTATTTTTTACGGTAAAAATCCGGCAACCACAGCTGCCAGTTTTTTACCATAAATTATACAGAATTTTTTTTACAGTGTGTGAATGACACTGTGCACCTTTTATATATGTTATTATTTAAAAGCTGCTTGTGATGGGCTTTGGTTCATCATGTGACTTTCTCATCACCACCTGCATTTGGTGGTTATCAGTATTACAAAGGTACAAAACAGATTTCAGTACTTCAATAGGTTGGTATATTAACATTATATCAGTTAATGAAAGTACGGTATTAACTATAAATTTACAGAATTTTTTTTACAGTGTGTGGTATCATATTTGACACTCTTTTCTATGTGGATGGGCTGATCTAGGTTACTCAAAGCTGTACTCATATCTGGCATTTGAAATTTAACACACTCACATTTGTAGTGAATTAAACGATGAGGCCTGAACAGATAGATAAATGAACAGCATGTGTCAGACCTGGATGGGCTCGTAGAAGAAAGCCTCCACTCCTTCTGATAAGCCTCGGATCAGCCCGAATGGATTTCCAAGAACATCCAGACCCAAAACCAGCACGTACATCTGCGTTAGGAACTACGAGGAGAGAAAGAGACTCTGAACGTCCTTCTGATACAGTGATTTAAATTGAAAATGTAAGCGTGTTGGAGAGCGTTTGCTCATGGAATGAACTCTGACATTGCATGAGTGTGTATTTAGATCACCCACTTGCTCAGAGTAGTGTCTGATCACTGCCCACATCAGTTTCTCTCGTCGGTAGAACTGATATTTCACCTCAAAGTAAGCCAGTCTGAAACAAAGAGTGAGACAAAAAGACGTCAGTCGATGCCCATGTGAAAGTCATTATTAGGGTGCATGCACAGCTCAAAGTCTTACTTGAAAATCAGATCATCTACATCAGTGAGTGTGGCACCAATGCTTTTGAGCAGGAGGTTGACGGACTGGATGGCGACCATATCACCCTGCTCAGATTCATCTCCACTGGAGCCCAGAGACAGACTCAGGTGCAGCTATAGGAACACACACATAGTTTCCTAGGTCAATCATAAACAATTACATGTCATTTTACAGTTTGATGCGGCTAACTGTCAAGGAAATCCTTTTGCAATTTATCAATCATTTGACATTATTAAAAAATAATAAATGCATTTAAGATTTCTATTATAAATAAATCTGGTTCTTTTGAACTTTCTATTAAGTCAAAGAATCAAAGATCACAGTTTTCACAAAAATATCAATAATAAAAACGGTTTTCAGCACGTACAATAATAAGAAATGAAATAAGAAATTTCTGAAGGATCACGTGACACTGA